GAACAATCGACATAGAACAAATGCACTCTGCATGAAGCAAATAGAAGAACAGAGACAACAGTGTCAATAGCCGATCACGAAACATAAATCACAGACCAACCAAAGTATCTCACAAATAAGGGCGAATAACAGGTTATTTCTCAAATTTGATAGTGATAAAATAACAGCAGCAGCAATGGTCAAGAAATGATGGCCAAAATCGGCCTTAGAGATCCCAAAAAAAAATTACATGAGAAGAGATTATGGCAGGATCTGTTTAATTATTTACAGGATGCTTTTGTTGCTTCTAGAACAGACAAGATCGCCAGTCTCTGGCATCAAAACTATATGCTAATAATACTTTGATTCATGCACAGAACAACAGATTTAGGATCACTTCACGTATGTAAAGAAGAGCCAAATAATCTGGCAAGTATTATCAAAGCCTAAATCAGCTAGATAGACAAAAAGACAGGCACTCTCCAACAGCACACCCAAAAGAAACCCAGAAAAATGATAAAGAAGGCAGAGAACAGAAAGGAAGAAACCTGGCCAGGCGCAGAGCCATCAAGGTCCTTATCGGTGGCGCGGTACTCGTGCATGATCCAGTTGGTACGCTGGCCTTTGGGGGCACGGCCTCTGTAGAAGACCAAAGTCTTCTTCATCCCCACCAGGGCCTTCCTGGACTTGATAGTCCGATCCTTTCCTGTCGCTTTCCAGTAACCGGCATCAGTGGCTCTGTTCGAACGATGACCGTTTGGGTACTTTCTGTCCCGAGGGCAGAAGAAAAACCACTCTGGATCCTCCGTCTTTATCACCGAAAGCCCTATCACCCATCTCGATTACAACCACTGAAAATCAGAACTTATCTATTTTTTTCCCTAAAATTCTCCATTATTTACGCATAAAATAAATAGAGAATCTTGTGAGATGATGAGATGCATTTCGCCATTAAGCAATCAGCATGGAGAATAAAGAGAACGAAACTGACGGCCTTAAGGAATCTAAGCAGATTCAGAATGTTATATGTGCTTGCTTACCTAATTTTTATTTTTATCAAAAAGAGAGAAAGAGAGAATATGAAAAGAAGAGTCGAACCAGGTAAATCCCACGGCTCCCATTTGCAGACATCGACTTCGGGGATGACCTGTACCTCGGAATCACGGCCGTTGATCTTCGACCGTAAGTAATGATTTATCAGCTCCTCATCTGTAGGTCTGAACCTAAATCCAAGAGGAAGCGACTCCATGGACAACACAGCCATCTTCTCCTCCTCCTCCTCTTCCCGCTAACTTAATTTCTAGAAGAATGATTTCTTACTGATCTTAATTATGAACAGAATCGCAACTGGAGGGTTCTTGTTTTTATCCGGGTATTTCCCCTTTGTGGCTAAAGCCTTAATCAGCAAGGGGGTAGAGGAAAAAGCCAATTGAATGACGACAGCTCACTAGCCGCGCCTGCGCCTTTTCACTCCATTTGATTTTGAATCCTGCGCAAGCAACGAGTATCTGAGGGAATTGCTTCTTTAGGGTTTGCCGTAGGAGTGATTTTCTACATGGAGGAATATGAATTTGATAGTCCAACATACACGGCGACCGAGAGCCAGAAATTGGCATGATTGTGGCTGGCCACTGCACAATTGCCTTTTGGATTTCTTCACTTTTTACTATGTTTCGACCTTTGCACGTGTCTCGTCAGCTTCTGCTACAAGCCACACACTGATTGATCACTCTCTGTACTGCAAACGCTTTTTTTTTTTCTTTTTTTTCTTACTTTTTGCTTTTTGCTCGATTTCTCTGATCGCCTCTTCAACTTTTTCATCTTATCACTGCATGAAATTTCTTCTGTTAGTTTTTTGATTGCCTGTGATTATGATATTCCACATAATCTCTTGATTCGTGAATTCTGGAGATATATGTGAACTCATTGTAACTCTCAACATATTTATAATTAAACACTTCACTTTTGCTAAAATTGTAAAAATTTTAAATTTGTGTCAAAGAGGAAGAAGATTATGGTATTAAAGAGGAAGTAATTACATATATTAAAATAAATAAATAAATATATTAAAGAGTAAACAAATCAAAATGTCAGAGATAAAATAAATAAAGATGTTAAAGAGAAAAATAATTAGGTTATAATAAAAAAAAATTTATATTTTCTATAATAATTTATTTATTTATTATATTTTTTGTTTTATAAAACTTATATATATATATAAATATAATTTTTAATAAAATATATATCAATTAAAAAATATTTTAATAATTTATTGAGAATTTTTTTTAATATTTTATTAAACAAGATTTTTAAAATAAAAATTACAACCTGATAATTTTAAACAAACTTTTTGACGAAAATTTATAAATAATCAATTTATAATTTTTTTATTATTTATTAAATATGTAATACAAATTAAAAAATTATTTAAAAATTATAATCTCATATTAAATAAAAGAATAACTTGAGTTTAACAAATTTTTTTTAATTTTTAATTAATCCATCAAATAAGCGAGTAACCACTACAATTAAAATCAAATCTAATTGAAAACGATCCTCTACAATATCAATAGAGCAAAAATCGTCTCCGTCACTAATCATGTTCTGATCACACAATCACGTATCATCCATCAAACTTGAGATCTTATCTATTTAAAACACAAAAATATAAAAATACAAACCTATAGAATAAATTATGTTCAAATAAAGACGTCAACGTCTTTTTAACAAGAAATCGTATATTTCAACTCATATATTCACATTTTTAAAAACATCTAAACTTGAGTTTTTAAAAAAATATATAATCTGAGAATTAAAATTTAAATATCTATAATCTCTTACTTAAAAAATTAGTGTTAACAAATAATTAATAATTAAAGTTAAAAGAAAAAAAAATACAATAAACACAATATCTAAGCTTCTTTCCTCAACCATTTCTTTGGAAAATTTATCTTGTGGCAACACAAAATGTCTTCTCTGCTGCCATTTTTAGTTACATTTCTTGATTTGGCTCTGTGTGCTCGTCTCTGTAAAAACTAGGCACTGCGTTCTATTGTTTGAATGAATTTACTAAGCCACTCATCGTTTTATAACCACAAAATTAACAGAACTAGATTCTCCATACATTCTTGATGTCTCTTAAACATATAAAAAGTAGATATAATAGTAACAAGAAGATAGACTGTACGCCCTCATAACAAATTATAAGGGCTATGCTTCTTCACAGGACATAAAGAAAGCTTGTTTGCTTCTAACTCTGCAATTTCTTTGTATATATACACAAATTTTACCTACAAGCCAGGATGATAGGCAATATGCACATTTGTTTCCACCCTCTGCACAACTCTCCTCAAGCTCCACTCATGGCAAAACTCCAGGCTAAGTCGAAGGGCTGTTCCAAGCCCAAGCACAACAATAACTCCTGCATAATGTTTGCCACGTTTTTAACACCATCAATGCAGCTACCTATTTTTAGGGAATATGATTTGCATGTCAATGAACTGAAAATATATGCAATATATGTGCATACCAATTATAATATTAACAGGGAGTGCAGAAACACCAAGAGTAACTGATATCAGGACATCCAACAATAGCCCACCGATTAGGATTGAGAATGCCACCCAAAGTGGACTGAAACAGGCCTGTCAAATGATTAGAGTCAAAGTTTTGAATTAAAAAAAAAAACATGATTACAAGAAAATAGTCACAGCTGTGCCTTAACCCTTCCATGATCTTGACGTCTAAAGTTTGGGTCAACTCTCCAAACCCAGTAGTTTGTCTGCGCCAAAATCACAAATGAATCATCGCATCCAAGACCGAGATGTCATAACATTGGGAAAAAAATCGATGTCAAAATCCATTGCACTATTTGGAGAGTTTGTTTAGCCCAGAAGACATCAACAAACAGCAAAACAGATCACTCCAATGGTCAATCATTTACAAACAAGTGTATATGTTTGCTCATGTATTATAGAATTTCTTTCTCTAGAACACAGAATAACTCTTGTATACCATGATATAACTGGGCACAAAGTTTTAAATACTTACAGCTGATGCTAGAAGACTAGCTACTATTCGGAAAATCATCAACTTACAGCCTTACTGTAACCAAAGGCCATCAGTTGGTGTAGCTCTGGGGTAACTTAAAGACTGAACAATTTTCAGTTATGGAAATAATAAAATGAATGAAATACAAATACTTTAATACGACTGTATGAGGAACTTCGCGGAGTATCACTCTTAGGTTTGAGGTGATTTTCAAGGTTTAAAAGCCATGCTGTGGGAATCCCACAAGAGATGAAAGCAGCGAGTGTTAGATACCCAAATTCATAAGCATTAGATTATGATGCGAAAATAAATGAAATCAATAACTTCGGAATTCTTTTGATTACTCTCGAGTGTCAGATACTGAAATTCAAATGCGTTAGACTACGATGGGAAACAAAAGAAAACAATAACTAAGGAATTCTTTTGATTACTCCCAGAGTATCGGATACCCAAATTCATGTGTTAGATTACGATGCGAAAACAAATAAAAATAATAACTTGAGAATTGTTTTGATTACTCCATGTGTCAGATATCCAAATTTATGTGCATTATATTACGATGCGAAAACAAATAGAAACAATAACTTGGGAATTCTTTTGATTACTCTGAGTGTCAGATATCCAATTCATGTACGTTAGATTACGGTACGAAAATAAATGGAAATAATAACTTGAGAATTTTTTTGATTACTCCCGAGTGTCAGATACTCAAATTCATGTACGTTAGATTACAATATGGAAATAATAACTTAGGAATTCTTTTGATTAGTCCCGATTGTCAGATACTCAAATTCATGTGTTAGATTACGATGCGAAAACAAATGGAAACAATAATTTGACAATTCTTTTGATTACTCACGAGTGTCAGATACCCAAATTCATATGCGTTAAATTACGATGCGAAAACAAATGGAAATAATAACTTGGGAATTCTTTTGATTACTCCCAAATTCGAGAAAAAGATACCTACAGTTGACTGGGATTCTGGAGGTGGCACATTGGCAGCTACTGATCTGCATGCATGTTAAATCAAGATAAATGTTTTTGTAGAAACAAGTAAATTCTAAACATGGAAGAATTTTTATCAAATAATTACTGGCATATCTCGCATTGGTTCGACCCTTTAGTGCGAAACCAAGTGTCTATGCATGACCGATGAGCTTTTGCAAGACCACCGCGACATTGACATCCGAGATCAATCAAAACTTCTTCCTTCTCCTGCTGACAAACCCTGAACAACGACATTGAAAGCAATTTTTACTGCACCTGTTGCAGTGCCAATTTTATTTTAAGAATCATTAGCTCTGCTTATTTGCATGGCAAATAAAATATATACAGGATTTTTAATATATAACAGTGATTATAAAAATGGGATAGACAAAAACAGTTGCAGATAAAAACAAAATTGTTCGAATTTTCCAGTATAAATTATTCACAATTGCAGAAGACAACAAAGATGTTAGAATTTTCCAGTACAAATTATTCATCGTGTATATGTGTATGTGTGTACAGATACAAACATACAAGTAGATGAAAACAAAATGCACCTGCATTGCTCATGAGAACTGGAAGTCCTGGGCAAGCAGCCCTTTTTTGGTGACGCCACGTCCGGCAGTTCTAACTCCTCTTTACCAGAATTCACAGCATTCAGAAGCTTTTCAGGACCTGGATTGGAGACTACAACAGCAACCAATGCGGGGTTGGGGGTGCCGCCGGTAGAATCCCCTTCCTCTGCTCTCTTATCGCTCTGCCCCGCTTCAAGGTCAAGGTCGGCACCTGCGGCGGCGTTCCCGGGAGACTCCTCATTCTTCATTTGACTACCAACTTCATTAGTTGCCATAAATCCTTTAGGTCCTTAGTTTCTGCAACAGCACAGATTGAGCAAGTGAAAACCCTAGAAACGGCCTTGCGGTTACGAGCTCTAAAAGCTATTTTGGAGGTTTAATTAGAGCAGAAACGCCGGAATCGACGCGTAAATTTGAGCAACCAATCAGCGAAAGCACAAAACCAGTGGGAAGAAAAGAAACAAGACATAGACGCACGAGGAAGAAACATGAAGTTGCGAATTGAAAGAGTGAATAAGATCAATTACACTCTACTTGAATATGGAAACCAAGCAATACAGCAAAGCAAAAAAGAAGTTCCATGTAAAGTGAACATTGAAATTCGAAAAAAGTACCTCCGACCTCCGCGTCTGTGAATTATTGAAGACGAAGAAGCACAGAAACAAAAGAGGGCCTGACTAGGGACTCGGCAGGGGCCAACCACCACCACCGAAGTAAAGAACAAGTCTGGTAGTTTCAGGGTTTAAAGGAAAATTTTACCTCTTTAAATAGATATATAATATTTTTAAACGGAGAAATGAAAGGAGGAATTTTGATAAAAATTGTTTTATTTTTTCTTTTTTTTTAAATAAATTTTTTTTTCTAATATTTGTTTTATTGGAGATTATACGGTAATTTTTTAAAACTTTTTAAATTTAATACGAATAAATTAAATTATAAAAGAATTTAATCTCAGTATAAAAATTAATTTAAAATACAGTAACATCTATTTTGCTTCAAATTCTACTTTCATAAAACTAACAATATGTAGAAATAGAATAAAATTTAAAATTAAAATAACTCTCTACCTTAAAGTTAATTTCAATTAAATATTTTGATTATTAATCTGTTAACATACGAAAAATTTAAGGTTGAAATGTTGAACTTAGCCGATTTATATATATTAAATAATTAAATGAAAATAGTAATTTATCGAAAACTGTAAATATTATAATCGTACGTCGTGAGTGAATTTTTTTACAATAATTAATGAACATTCTCTGTGTGCGTTTCGGCCTGCGCGAGAAAATGACAGTAAACCCAGAATTAATTTAATTATAAAAGAATTAAACAGATCCCCAGGCTAACCATGGATTGGCTCACAGAGAAGGTTATTGTCAGCCATGACGTTGATATGTCACGTGCGCACGTGCACTGTCGCTTCTCGCCAAGTGGCCATTGCTCATGTTCACATTTTGATATCCACTGGTGCTGAATTGTCGATTTCTTTTTCCTTTTTCTGGGTTTTAATTGCTTCTATGCTGTTGTAGCCTAAAAGAATGTATATTAGTCATTAGGAATTTCTTGGTGCATGATAAATTTAAAAATGAATGCTGCTTTTTTAGAAAAAGTTGTCATTTTTAATTTGTACCTCCACAAATATATTTGAAAAATGAACAACTTCGACAGTATTATAAAATTCATCCAAGTAACTTATACATAATTCGATTATTATGGATATATCATATAATATATAACATGGGAATTCTCTTCATTAAAGATATAAACACAAATAGCAAAGAACACTTGTACCATACATCACCCGAAGAGGTGAGTGTGTGTGCGTGTGTGTGTATATATATATGTCACGTCATGTCATGTAAAAGAGGACATGATAACCATTAAGGTTTACCTTATAATTTTCCCCAACAACAAAACACTAAAAAGATGCATAGTTTTCCTACCTCAGTACAAGATAGCATCTCCGGCCAAATGTTGACCTGGAGGTGAAACCCATCGCAAGATTTAAGTGCGGTTCTGTTATTGTACACGAGATCAAACAACAAACAAGTAGAACCAAAAAGAAAATAAAGCCATTTGGTTCCCAAAAAAAGAAAATGTCTGATCCACCATTATAAAGATTAAGAGATTGTACCCAATTTGGATTTGACAATACAATAAAAAGGGAAGTGACGTTTCAGCTACAAATGCAGATTCCCACAGAACTTGACGCCCAATCTAACAACACAGTACCAGAAAAATGGGAACTGAATTCTACAAAATAAGTGAAAAAGAACAGAAACCAAACAAACTGTCAAAAGAAAAGAAGGATTTGGCTGGAAAAAAAAAAAACAGAAAAAAAAAAAAAAAATAGAATCAACGGCAGAACAAACCACCCTAATACAGAGCCAACATTGGCATCCCACAACACAATCATCATATCTGTACAAAACAGAACAGAAACCTTCCCATCGGAACAAAACCCTTCCATACAACAAGTCTTTTCCACCAATCAGGAAGGTCGCTGAATGCATGTGCTACATCTTTCTTCACCTCAACAAAGCCCAATGCAACATTCAAGATCCTCATCACTGTCATCACCATCATCATCCACCTTGTACTTACTGAAATGCTTGACTCTGAACTTCCATTCTCCTTTGATGGGATCATAGGACACATACTCAGCGCCTTGTTCCTCAGCCTTCCTCTTAAGCATCTCCTTGTATTTTTCAACTTTTGGTCCTTCTGTGTATTGTTGTCCGGTCTTCTTATCAAAACACTTTATGTTAAGTAGAGTTACTTCGGCAGGCTTGTTAAGACCTTGTCCGACAGGGGGCTTCTTGCTGTCATCCATATAAACAATTACCTCACGGTTGTTAAATTGCACCAGAGATTCCAGATCGAGCCTTCGCACATCTGTATCACCAGTGAATTTGATGCTCCCATAGCCATGACGTCCAACTACAAAGTCACTAACACGGCGACAGAATCCCGGCTCAGCCCTTTCCTTGGCTGCAAGTTCTTGGATTTTAGGTTCTGTATAGTAATCAGAGCGTCGGAGCTTTGGCATCAGGGCCTCGATGTCAGCCCCATGTTCGTACACTATAGCAGCTTCACCTGCTCTGTGGCCGCTAAGAGTCATGTATGAATTTTCTTTCTGAGGAGGATGATCATCATGAACACCATTAAGCTTTTGATTCATTTTGATGGGATGAACAAAAGCGACAGCACCATCTTCAACTGGATGTTCTGCAAATATTGCAGGTTCAGGAAAAATTTATCAAAGAAAAACATGCAAGTATACATTGAAATCCTCCCAAAAGGCCAAATTCAGCTGAAATTCAAACTTGCTAACAGAAAGAAATTGCTACTCATTATAACAAAATCAAACAAGTTTTGGGTAAGCAACGATGGCAAAGGTCGAATGGTGTTTTTTTACAGATCCAAGTACTTTGAGAAAAAACTGACTTCTTTAATAGTTAATACTGATAAAAATACCTTTTAGAATAAAAATGTCAAACAAACTCCAAATAAATAAATTATCACTTGATAATAGACAATTAGACAGTCATTCCCTTTGATTCTGTATTCACTCTATGATCCAAACCAAATCAATGGGTTCCAGAATTACATGTGATTTTTTAAAGACAGAAATACACGTGATTTTTATCATAAAAGAAACCAGAATTATGAGTAACACAACCAGAAAATTAGATTGCGCAATGTGAGAATCAAAAGAACCAACATGGAGCTACAAGTACTTACTGTCTTTGTTGCCAGCAGCAGATCCATTTTCAGAAATTTTACCTGAAACAAAAATCATGCTCTAAAAAGGTCAGCACGCCAGTAAGCAAGAGTTCGATCATGCTAACAAATGTAACACCATAATGGGCTACTTGAAATTTCAGATGGAACTGCTGCAATAGGAGAGCAACAGGGGAGATGGTGACTATCTTCCCAGGAACTAACAATATGATATTAAAACGGACCAATAGCAAATTCAACAAGGTTTAAGGGAAAATAATTATTTCAGTTAAATCTCCTAATCAAACTAAGGTTTGTTAGGTGGCACAAAATGTAACCAAACCGTACCGTTTTCATGCACCAGGGTAGTGTCCTTCAACGGAGATGATTTTTCTGCACTAGCTCTTGAAGGCCACTGTTCTGTTGGACGAATCACCAGAGCTCTTGGGTTTTCCCTTGGAATAAAAAGAGCATCTGCCTTGGGAGTGCTGGGTGTCTCTTCATCATCATCAAAAAATGGAACCTGTATAGCAATCAAAAGATAAGCTTATGTATTGGGAAAAAATAATATTAATAAGAGGCACTAAACTAAAATATCTCGTAACCCAACACAATTTACAGAGTAATTATCATTTCAAACCTTTGGACCATCATTAGGACGATACTTCCTTGCAGGCAACCTGATTCGCCTTTGCGAAATGTGTCGAGAAGTCAATAAAGATGATATTCTAACAGGAGCAGGTTTGTCGACAACCTGAGATTAAAAAAGAAGTTAAAAAAAATTGGAAACAAATGAATCTTAGTGATTAAAAATAGGAAGTTCCTAAAGTGAACATATTTCAGTAGTAGGAGATGAGGAACATAAAGAAATTATTGAAAAGAAATGAAAAAATTTAATTTCCTCTTATAAGTTTTGGGAAGTTTTACAAGAAAAAAAAAATTGAAATATTTATTTTTCTATTTCCTAGATGTCCTATACTTGATGTATTTGGTGCTCATAAATGAAATACTTAGTTTAGTTATTAGGTAGACTATTAGTGATTAATAATTAAATATTGAAATATTATTTGACTATTGAGATCCGAGTTCTCCTAATTTGCTTCTTAATAAAAATTTCCCTAAGTTTTGTCCTCAAGCTCTCTTGTTGTCCTACATCACATAGTTAAATGCATTATCCAATATAGCTTCCAGAAAAACTATTACAAAAACAGTAATAACAACATTCATGCTAGCAGGCCCAGAGAAACTCCATTATAACTAAAATAAAAGACAAGAAAGTCATTTCACTCCTAGTTTGCTTCTTAATAAAATTTTCATAAGTTTTGTCTTCAAACTCTCGTATTGTCCTATATACATTATTAACTGCATTATCCCATATAGCTTCCAGAAAAACTACTATAAAAACAGTAACAACAGCATGCATACTAGCAGGCCCAAAGAACCTCAATTATAAACTAAAATGAAAGTCAAGAAAGTCATTTACAGGCATATTAGAAATTCCATATTGTATTGATGGCGACATTCCAGTTCGACCAATCGACATTTGAGGCATAACAGGAAGCGTCCCAAATGGATTTGTAACAACAACCGGTTGTACAGCAGCAGCGCTCTGTGCAGCTGGCCTGTAAGAGGAATATTAAAAGCAATTAAAAAACAAAAAAAAAGTATTTTTGTTTTAAATTTAAATAAAAATAGTATATGTATAAGGTCTGCACAACACATTGATACACAAACAATAACGAGTAGTAACCAAAGAATACAAGACATACATTTGTCCAATGTTGCTTTGACCAAAAATGCCCAATCCACCGCCAAAGCCACTTCCACTTGCTACAAAGGTGGTAATTTTAGAAAGTCAGTATCATCATGTTGAAAAATTAAGAAACATATTAGAAAGAAGGACAGCAGCATACCTGCTTGTGTCTGACCAAAGTTGCCAAAGCCAAACGTGCTAGTGGCCTGAGCAGGCTGGCCTGGCTGAAAAGGTGTAGAAACAGAGGCCTAGATAAGCAGAGGACAAACATCAGAGAAATTTAAAACAAGGCTAGTAGTGAATCAACATGCACGTGCACAATAAATTAAAAAAAAAAGGAGTCTTCCAGGATTCCACATCCCTCTTTTGCATGTATCCACAACCATTATTCAGAACCTTTATACGGCTCACCCTATCCAGCATGATGCTGATTTTTTCTGACTTTACTAATCTTGCATTTGATTCTTTATAAAACTTTTGTACATGGTGGCACCCCTTTGGTGACATACCAATGGATTTTCTCTCTTTTTCTTTTAGAAAAATGAACATTTTCTCAAAGAAAACATCAAAAAAGAGTTGCATATTAAGATCGTAAAAAAGTAGGTCATGATAATGTCAGAAAGGAAAATATACATCCTTGAAAAAAATAAGAGATTTATGCAAGAAGCTTCAGTATATTGTTTTATCCTTTTTTGGGTTGAGAAGTACATTGGATAGAATAAAATGGAAAAAGAAGTAACTTACTGCTGTTTGACCAAAAATTGGGCTGCTAGAAGTGTTAACTGTTGATGAGCTTGTGAATAACCCACCAAACCCGGTAGAAGGTGTATTGAAGATACTGGACTGACCAAATGAAGGAGTAGAACCCTGTCCAAAGGACGAAGTAACCTGTCCGAAACCAGATGCTGTCTGCCCAATTGAAGGAACAGTTGAATTGAACAGAGGAGATGTCTGACTAGTACCAAAACCCATGCCAGAACCAAATGCTGGAGCTGTCCCTTGACTTGCAGCAGAACCAAAAAGAGATGGAGAAGACCCAAATACAGGTGAGCTTGATGAACCAAAAATAGATGAACTTCCTCCAAATGCAGGAGTAGATCCAAATAGCGATGTAGTTGTTGATGAAGTTGATCCAAATAAGTTTGATGACGATGTTGCACCAAAAGGTGATGAACCGAATGCAGGAGTGGTTGAGGTCCCAAAACCTGAGCTACCAAAACCTGGAGTTTTTGGAGCAAATGGATTTGAAGATGTTGAGCTTGTAAAAGGACTTGGTGATGACTGACCAAATGCTGGTGAAGGAGCAAAAGGATTTGCCTGAGCAGTTGATGTACCGAAGCCAACTCCAGCCGGAGACTGGCCAGCAGGGAGTGGTCCACCTGAAAAGGAAATTACTTACAGAATTAGTAATGTCATGCATATAGCAACAAGTAACATTAGCTTCTGCAATTTAAGAAATATTCACCAAAAAATACCTTTATCTCCCTGCTGATAATCCTCCCACCTCAACTCCTCATGGCTTTTATCTTTGTAGACAGGCATGGCTGATATTGACTCCAACTTCCCAGCAGGCTGTGTACCACTACCGCTATCTGCCTCAGTTGTAGGTGTGTAAGGGGCTACCCTACTTCCTCCACGTTGACCCCCAAAACCTGATTGTCCAAAGCCGCTGCTCCCAAATGTTGGTGTTGTAGCTTGAGCTCCTGCGAGACAGGTAAAATAGGCATACATATTCAAAGAATGATGAATTTAAATAAGAGGTAGAAGCTAAACTGGTTTCTTATAATAAAAAACCAGAATATTTATCACAAAATCTGCTTTAGCCCATGCTATTGAGGGAATCAGAAAAATATGATAACTCACCAAAAGGAGAACTCTGAGCACCAAAAGGAGAGGATGTGGATCCAAACATGCTGCCGCCAAAGGATGAAGTTGACTGGCCAAAAGCTGGAGCAGAGCCAAAGCTAAAGGATGGAGTGCTGGATGCTCCAAAAGCAGGCGTACTTGAAGCCCCAAAAACAGACGTGGTTGAAGCCCCAAAAGCAGGAGCACTTGACACCCCAAAAGCAGAAGTACTTGCTGCACCAAATGCAGCGATGCTTGAAGCACCAAATGCACCCCCAGATCCAAAAACAGGGGTACTTGACACACCAAATCCAGTTCCTGTACTACCAAATCCTGGGCTCGGTGTTGAGCCAAATGCAGGTGTGCTTGTAGCACCAAAGGCAGGTGTACTTGTAGCACCGAACGCAGAGGTGCTTGCAGCCCCGAATGCTGGAGTGCTTGTAGCACCGAATGCTGGAGTGCTTGTAGCACCGAATGCTGGAGTGCTTGTAGTACCAAATGCAGGCTGACTTGATGCACCAAAAGGTGTGGAAGAACCAAATATACTGCTTCCAAATCCAGGTTGTGATTGCTGAGTTGTACTTCCAAAAGGACTTGATTGAGTTGTTGCCCCAAAACCAAAACCAGGCTTTTGACCAAAAACAGATGAGCCTATGTATTCGAAAAAGAAGAATAGACAAAAGTTTACCAAAAAAATAAGCCAAATAAGATTACTATAATTATATAGATAGAAGCAAGCATAAATGTAACTATATTTCCAGAGGAACTACATCTATACGAGAACAATACGGCGGAAGAATACTTGCACAAAAAGGGAATATGATCACTTAAGAAAGATATAACCTCAATGGGGAAGGAGGATAAACAAGCAAGAAACAGTATTATAATTAACCAAAAGAAAAGAGGAATGGGGAAAATGTAATAGAGAAGGATGAAAAAAAGAGAAAAATTAAAATCTTAATCAGTGAATTTCCTCAGGAAAGTGATTCCAATACAAAAAACTCTCCCATGGATAGAAATGCACCAATTGCAACTAAAATACAAGACATCTGAGAAGAACTCAATCATCAGGTCCTGAGTCATATGTGACAACTAGCAAACTCAAAATATCTCAATCTATCAATAACCAATTACACATAGCCCATATGTCTTCTTCAAGAACTTGACAAGTCAAACAATCAGGTAGTGTTCAGTTAAGAAAAAAATAAAACAAAAATAAATAAATAATACAAAAAATCCATTGGGACACTCACCACCAAATGACGAAGATGAAGCGCCAAAAGCAGGAGTTGAAGATGCTCCAAACGAGGGCATGGAACTTCCAAAAGCTGGTGACGATGAAGCCCCAAAGGCTGTTGTGGAAGAAAAAGGTGAAGAGGATTGAGCAGCGCCAAACACACCAGTTGAAGTGCCCCCAAACATTGAAGTACCTGTTTGTGCGCCGAAAGGAGATGTACTACCAAACGGTTTAGGGGCAAAAGGATTGTTACTAGCATTAGTCTGACCAAAGACTGTTTGAGACCCGAACGGGCTAGTAGATGACTGCCCAAACGCTATTCAATGCATTTCAAGTTATCAGTTTAAGTTACCAAAAGATTCCACACAATTAACAGAAAACAACTATTAATCAACTAAGGAAAAGCAAATAGATAGAGACAGATCACAAACGAGATCATATTAAAAAAAAAGGCCATATCCGCATTGATGGTAACCAAAAAACAACTGTTGCCTGATAAGAGCTCAATACTTTCAACCAAATACAAACAGAATTATGTTAATTTTAGTTACCAAAAACGAATCCCATACATTAAACAAACTAATCAACAAAGAAAAGGCAAAAAAAATAGAGGTGGGCCACAGATGAAATCTTAATAGGTAAAAGGCCATACCAAGGCTGATATTGACCAAAAACATGGACAATCAACTGATAAAAGTCCAATTTAATCCTAGTGGAAATATCATAACCAAATATGTCAACTGAATTAGACTAGCTACTATCATTCCACATCCATAGAATTAACAAAAAAGATGTAAGCAAGGATGGTTCAGTCACGCTGGCAGAAGTTCAATGGATAGCCAACAACATGATACAACAAGAGAAAATCGAGAGAAAGAGAACAGGTTTAAGGGAATGAATTTGAGGGTGCATATGCATTAGAACAAAAAACAAAATCCATGGACTACAAAATAAACAAACAAACAAACAAAGAGGATAGGGAAATTGGCATTAAAGCAAAAGGAGAAGTAAAGGAAAAATCCAGGAAAATAGCAGACGTAGAGATGCTGGAAACAAAAATAAAGGGAATTTGTGATACAATTCTACTACAGATGCCCCCATGCACAGAAAATTTCAAAAAAATCAAAGGTACGTTTCCACTAGTTAAAAATGGAAACAAACACCATTGTTTACTCAACCTATAAATTGAAAGAGATGCTAAGAATTTAAGGACTCCTTACCATTCAAACAGAATAAGAAAAAAAAAATGGTAAATAGAAAAACAACCTCAATGAACTTAAGATATGATATTTAAAGGAAATGAAAATGAATGGAAGCTAAAGGAAGTAGAATAGGCCCTTACGATTAGATGATCCAAACATCTTTCTAATTAATTCTTTACTCCAGAAACAGCATCCAGTTCTAGATTCCCAACTGAAGAAATGGAAGCACACATCAGATAAAAGAAAAATATACAAGTGAACTTCAACTGATAATTAATTCCAGAAAACTAAAAAGTCAATTCCACTTGAATGCAGAGAAATTGAAAAAAAAAATAATAACTTTCATGAATATAAAAGAATCATTAAACAAGGAAACTGAATGAGAAGGTTTACATAGCAAATCATTTTTCTTTATTAACAAAATCACAAGCTCAAAAACCAAAATTCATATTCTTTTATGGATGCATCATAAATACCGTTTCAGGAAATTATTTTCCGAGAATACTATTTCCAGTAATTACATATAAATTTAATATTATTCTCCAAAAAAAAAAAAATCCTGCCTATCCATTTAAGAGAATTATGATGGTATAGTCATTAGAATAAGGTACATCCAGGCCAGGGCACAGGTATAAGAAAGATATATGCTACTTACCTAAATTTACATGGGAAGAGGAAGCAAGTACGCTTAGTCACACATTGCGAACCACTTCAGGCTTAATATTGGTTATCACTTTATATCTAATAGTAATATGCTGAAGTAAATTATATTGATTATTGAAAGAGGCTACTTCTATTTGAATTAAAAGA